AGTGTCAAGTGTCTTTTAAAGATATTGCACGATAGTCCGTAACTTTTTTTTTATAACATGTAATGCGTTATATACTAAAATTATTCTAGACGTACCTACCTAAATAATATACGTAGGTATGGAGGGATTTTTTAAATCGGTTTATAATGGTAGTAATTAGCACCTACTATAAAGTCTACTTTTAATTTTAAATTTTTATAAACAACTAATCGATTATCATTCATTGTAATATCTACTAACGACTTCACTTCTAAACATAAATATACATAAAACCTTTTTTGTGACTCGACAAATTTCCCTTTACAATTATCGCAATAGTTGTTAAGCAGCTTATTCCGATGTGTTAAAATATTGATACTGATAAAATACTGTTTCCCACAAGACTTTCGCAAATGGTTGTAAATAGTTTTTTGTTGTCACAAAACTTTAGCAAATGTGCAACAGAGTGATTGTTATATTGTCACCACTCCATTCCGCTTGAGATTATTGCGGAATTTCTATTCGAAATGGTGCAAAACGTTTTTCAACGATCTCTACTGCCGACTTGCCGAACACGACCTTGGAGAGTGTGACGCGATCACAGATGATCCGTTGCCATAATCTTGAGAACAGACAGTCATAAATCTATGGACTTGTTTTTTCAACGCCAAATAAGACAAATGCATTCGATGTTTCCATTGACAGTAAAACTATTACCATAACGGGCTTATGTTGGTGCATTTAAAACAATAGCGTTTAAATTCCAAATGCTTTCGTACGCAAATGAAGACCATTCTTGTAAAAGAATTTGATGTATTTAGCCATTATGTATTATATAAACAATGTAAAGAATGCAATCTTGTATTTCATTCTAAATACAGATGTATTCAGTACATTGATATGATTTTATCTTCCTCGAGTGATGTACTTCACATTGGACACTGTTTTGTAGTAACAAAGGTTTATCTGTTTAAAGTTAATTCCTTTCTTTCGCATACAATGATGTTTACGCGATACGAAATGCACAATCACGACTCTACAGGTACTCGGAAAACATTAACGGGTTAGTTGCATTTCCCCTGCGCAATCGTAAGCGCTCCCACCAGTTACTAATTATTTATCAAACAATGTTCAAGCAAATGCATCTTCGCTTAACTTCACTGGTTTTTCTCGTGTATGCTTCTGTTTTAGAAGTAAATACACTTTTTAAGAACATGTTGAAATGGTTTTGTTTCCGGAATAAACGAGAATCGAATATTGCCCTATCAAGTGATATCGGTCGACTAAAAGACAGGAAAATGATATAAGGCATCAAGGCAAGGCAATTTTGCGAAATTAATACGGTCGCCTCAATACGATTCGTCACTGCATACTTATTTAAGGTGCAATTATTGGAGCGTTACTATTGTATAGGCAGGCGGTTTATAATATCTAATGTCTGAAACGTATTTGATTATGCTAGGTAACGGAACTTTAAAGCTTGATATTCAACGAAAGCAACACTGAGAAGTGTTCATTAATTTACAAGAATAAAAAGAAATATAAATAACTTAAAACGGCGCGCCGGCAAAAACTGACGATGGTGTGGTCTCCTTGCAGATTTCTTAACCTACTTCAAAAAAGGAGGATGTTCTCAATTCGACTGTATTTTTTTGTGTATGTTACGCGATTTTGATGATCATTTTTTGTTGGAAAGAGGGTAGGTACCTTAGTATTCGGTCCATTTAAATTTGAAGAAAATATTCCCGCACTTTCCGTTAACCGATTTCAATAAAACTTGGCAAATAGATGTAATTCCAATAAAAAATCCGATAAGCAAAGTTTTGAGTTCGTTTTTTTTATAAAGAAGTTACAATTATTTGACTATTATTTTTAAGAGCTGCACACGGCCTTTTACTTTTTAATAGCTCAAAGGAGCCGCATAAGCAACCGTTTTACATACCATAAGCGCTCTGCTGCGTTTTTTAATTACTTACGTTTATTATTTCCTTGAGCTATGCTAGAAGTAGAACTGGAACCCTCGAATGCACTGCTAATGATACTAATTATGGTTGGTTAATTTGACACAAAGTTACCTGCCTAACTTGTTTGGTTTTGCTATGTATGATTGCACATTTAAACTATGTCGATTGGAACTTTGATAATATCATAAAAATGCACATTCATTGCACAAACTCTTGAGACATTGCCTCGACAAATTTTATTAAAAAGTGGGTTCATGTGCTTCTAAATGTCCTTATTTGATTTCATATACTAACAATCGGGATTGTTATTATAAATCTTATACGTAACAATCACTCTTTTTTTAATGACTTAAATTAGGTTTAAGAACATTGACGAGTTTTTCTTAATGTTTTCTATATATTCACCACCAGAGTTCTTTTTCAGAGGCTCGTTTTTGTTGCCATTAGTATCGTACCACCCACAGACATTCATCTGTTACCACCCAGCACAATATTAAAACAGTAATTTTGTTAATTGCACACAAAAACATTGCGTTTACAAATGATTACTGAGCCTATTTTATTATCAAAAATATTTTTTTTAATGCCTTTTTTGTGGAGAAATAAAGATCGAGTAAATAGTTGGACGAATGTTTGTTGATGATCATTAGTGTGTTCGAATAGCCGGGTACATAATTACCTATAACTTGGTTGCTCGCAAACATGGAATGAGCTTTTATATCGAAAATATCTCTCAAACATGGAATGCACTTTTATATCAAAAAAATCCCTCGTCACAGGGATTGCCGAAATTACAGAGTCAAGTACAAAATTGAAGGAAAATAAACGCTTAAATCGTTATTGATAACTTTATGTAACATTTAAATTATTATTTTTTATATTTAGAACCAGACCTGGCTATAATATTTCGCCAAAGTTACACTCACAAACAAATAAATACTTCATAGAAACAGGCCTGAACTACAAAGCAACTTACTAACGTAAACACACTGCGTCAAACGCACTATACCTTTTTTGTATTAGAGGGTAGCAGAAGTTATTCGAAGATGTATTTAAAATATAAAAATCGTAACTTGTCACGCAATTAATAGCGTGACGGGATCACGGGATTAAAAACCGGAAAAAAAGTTTAGAAGCCGCTTCCATACTTTGATAACTAAAAAAACGAGATAAAAGTGTCGGAATATTCGATCACTAAATTATCATTCACATTTGTACAATACATCAAATTGGTCCGTGGGTATAAGTAATTTTCATTGACCTAAATCTACTGCAGCAAACTCGCTTTCGATAATTATCATAGTTTGTATTATTCATTACGGTGTGCATAAGGCGATGCACGATAATGATAACTTAGTAGTGCAGGTATGCACTTAAAACATTGCAGTCACACGAACAGATTTTAAAATATTGGAATAAAAGATATACGTATCCTCAGAGGCATGAATGATTTTTTCAGATTTTAGTTTGTACTGATAACTATATGCCGGGCGGCGCGCGGTGAGGGCCGGTGGTGGTGGCGGAGGCAGCGTCGGCGATAGTGCCGTTCAGTCGTTCGAGATAGTTGCACTCAGTCGATCGCGCTCTGTAGTTTTTTAGATATTCAGTGTCGCGGTGCACAAACAGCGATTTCCGTCGCTCGGAAAAATTATTGCCGACCTTCACGCGCTCTTGCGTTTATTTGCCAGATTTTCCGGCACCACCTCGCCCAGACTTGTTATGTTAACGCGTAATGAATTTTTCAACACCTATTATTATAGTGAAATTTTTAGTTATGTATCCATGCTATAGTGTTTTTGTTGTGTTTCTGTAACTGTGCCATTGATAACAAAAATGAAGAAAAATATCAAATCCAAGCCGTTGGTTGTCATTCAATGCTACGAAGTAAGTAAGAAATGAGACATGGATTGTGTTCCATTATTATTAGAGCGAAGAAAAACGCCTAGATGGAGTTTATAATAGTAAAACTTATGTATTGTAAGCACGAACCGAATTCGTTTACTATACGAGTATGATGTGAAACTCGGAATCTGATCGATATGTGTCTAGGTGTACTTACCCATATACTATGTCATCTTCATCCATGGATTTGATACATACTATAACAATGGAGTTATCTGCAGTTTGCAAACGATAACAAAGATTAAATTCGATAAAGTAGAATACATATACAAATTGTGACTGAGTAAACTTTATACCACAAGGGATCCGCGTCCGATTGAACTAAGTACAGGCAAGAAACAGTTCACTAAAATTAGAAAGAACTTAAAAATCAATTACCTGATATAATTATTATGATATTATACTTTCCGATAAGTATGGTGCACAGAGCGTCTTACATGACGTGTATTTTTACAAAAAAATATATTACCATATTTTTTCTTATACAGGTTATTGCGTAAACAGTTAATCATTTAAGAAGGTCAAAGCAAAAACTTTAGATATTATTATTGAAAATTATTTGTTTTGTGGATCCGTCGCTTATACTTTAAGTTAGATGTGCTCATTCCCAGGTTTTCCTTTATAATATCTACCTTAGCATCCTATTTAGCAATATATCTTCAATGCCCAAAAATTGCATCGTTAACACACATATGTATATACCAACGTTAAAACTATGCCATCTTCCTTCCTCATTCTTTTGATACTTATCGATGAATTGTGTGATGATGAAGTGAGTTTACCTATTACTAAATGCTTCTACCTAATATTTTTTCATACTTTGGATGATTAATGCTGTAAAAGTAATGCTGTTTGAATTTAGTACATGGAAGCTCGGCTCCCAGTACCTAAATGAAATAATGTCATTGGAATATACACGTATGTATTCACAATGTTGTAATAAACATCACCGTTGCCTCACGTTAAGGACGCTCATTATGTTTCGGATACCGGTAATGATACTGCAAAGTTCAATGTCAAACAAAAAACTGCGATGAAAATTGGCTCATCAATATTATTTACCTACAAAGTATTATTACAACAATAACATAAAATAGACATTAATCGTCGTGATTATTGTGCTAGGTCTGTATTATAGCCAAGATTTCTTTACAGGATCGCCAGCAGACATTACCGTTGAGGAAGGTAGAACATGCTTCGTCCGAGTTGGTCAATGGTCATTCACAAGTAAAACGGGATAATGCAGATAATCCCCCACCTCCGCCACCGGTAAGGATCAATCTACCAACACTCTTTTCGAATCAATGAAATGGTTAGTTACTTCGTTTCTTGTTACTGTTACAGATGCCAACTACGAATGGCACCCAAAACGGATATCACAAGCAAGAAGACCATAAACCTATGGCAAAAAAGACTAATTCAGATCTTATTCTGAATTCAAGTGTTAGGAAAAACGATAATCTGATGCGAACTCCGACTCCAGACTATAACTCGAAAATGGAAAACGGAGTACCAAACAAAATAAAAAATGGTAAAGAAGAAAATGCTGAGCTGGACTCGCTGGAATCATTTACTTTAAAGAATCCTTCGACCGCCCCGCCTAAACCACCTTCGAACTATTTTGTGAAGGCGCCCAACGGTACGGCGACTATGAAAAAACACGGGCGGCCGGTGTCTGTGACAATAGGCGAGTACGCTGGCGGAGGTGGCTCACGAAGAGAACCCTCTAAACTCGATTTCCTAAATGGAGATAAGCCTGATTCGCAGCATACCCCTGAAGAATCTTCAATATCAAACCGACTGCAGTCAGAATTAGTACAGACCTTGTCTAGGTCCAATTTACGGAAAAAAACAGAAGCTTTGGTAAGTGTTCTGTCTAATCATATAAGCGTCTTGTTGCCTGTGTTTAATTGTTGCCCTGTAAATAAAATCCTTTCTTATGAATAAGTACATCCTATCAATAATTTTTTTTCAGGATCTAGCTACTAAAGCATCGTTAGTAAAGGAATTATTTAAAAATGAAGATAGTGATACATCTTTAGATAAAAATTTTCATGCCAGATACGGCAACAATCTTTTGCCACTGCCGCCATCGATATCCATACCGAAAATTTCAAAAGTAAAACATTGAATACAAAATCTTTAATTTCATATTGGCCATGCTAGTATTTCAAACGCCTGATTGACAAATTGTAAGATATGATTAATTTAACCCGGTAACCATAACAAAAGCACAACAAATCACTTCGACATGCATGAGATATATTCAGTAAAATATTTCACACTTTAGTTCGACCTACTAACTCTCACTTCAACAATATCACAACGGTTTCTTGGTGGTGGTTCTATTATAAATTATTTTGATAATACGCTGGGTGTTATGGTAGCCTCTTTGTCTGATTAACGCTACCGAAATCGTTCATTATTTTATATAAATAAAGTTCTTTGTATGTGTTTCAATTGTTCGCAGACTGATTCTGGTCCATAGTCGGAAGAAGATCGTATTAAATAGACGTCACACCCGGAAGCCCGTCTGCTAATCTATTGCCTAAATTAGTAAATGGAAATTTACACCAAAGTTAGATACTAAATTATGAGTATACTGGGATTTAACTTATTTTTACTAGTGCCACGGCTCAATATATTTAGTTATAATTTATATTCAATTTTTCCTCTTCTTCAAGAGACATATAAAATTATTTTTTTTAATATTTAAAAGCGTAAAATTTATTCATGCAAATGTAATTATTATCAATTGTTAGGTGTGTAATACATATATATTAGGTATTTAAAAGAATGTATTTAAGTTAGTATTAGTGAGCGCTAAATATTTTATTATTATGAACTGCCTAAGTCATGTAGTTATTAAAGATAAAGTAGAATTATAATGAAAGTGCTATTCTATTGCAATAAAATTTTGGCAATTACTAAGCTGTATATTTAATTACCTACTTATATGTATACAAACATTGACCTAACATAAATATGTAGCTGACATAAACATTGCTGTTTTACTAAGCACTAACATATAATGTCATGATGTCTCATCGACGATGTGTTAAAGTGCTGTTTCAATGGAAATATTTGTGTAAGGTATCTGAAGTACAAGGTAATTTACAAAAGATTTTAGCCGATATCTAAAGCGCATATCTACATTGTAACGTCTTACAAACTATACACGACTGTACCAGACCAGAATGAATGTAAATAACTTTGTTCGTTATTTTTCATATTATTTTCATACAATTTTTGGAATCAAGTTCGAAAAGAAAATGTAAGGATTTTTAGAGAAAAGAGTATTTATTTAACAATTTAAATCATAATTTTTCTACCTTTGAAGTGTTTCGGTCAGAGACTCGACACTTTAGTAAAGCTGGGTTTTCTCTTAGAGGATGGAAGAAAATAAAAGAAAGGAGCTGCCCTAACTACAGAATCAACGTGCATATAACCAAAATTTGAAAGTTACAAATGGCGGATTTCTTTAGTGTTGTACCATAATCTATCGATAAGTCATTATCGACATGCAATTGTATGGCTTGAATATTGAAACTGTTTTTTCTTCTTCTTTAGTTTACTGTAACCAAAGTATGCCTAAACAAACACAAGTCTAATAATTTAATCTCGAGTGGTATATTATTATAAATGTCAACACACATTTTTAAAATTTTTTTATAATTTATTTTTCACATGCGGACGGACAAACGTGTGAACACTGTTGGGCGAGCGCCTTTGATTTGTGATAAGCCAAATGAACTCTATACACGTTGGCGCTCGCCTTCACTCGGTCAGCTAGGCGAGTGACACCGAACGATGGCAAGGCAAGGCAAATAGGCTGTCTATACCTCGGTATTGGTCTTTACCCGGCAACGTTGGACTAACATGTCATTGTATTGCAGGCTTTAAAAAAATAGTCATTTTTAATAGTTAGATTTGTCATTGGGAAAAATCAGAAACGAGTGGATAATTTTGTTTACAGGAACTGAGAATAACTAGTAAATGAGTCTGGTTTAATCTAAATTGAACATAAAATTATTTACCAATAAACCTAATGATGGAATAGCATTGTCATGTAATCTAGTTACATTCAAAGTTCTGCTAAAATTTGACTCTTCAAAATGAAGCGAACAAATGAAGATGGTCTTTAATCCAACGTTTATATTCGGCAATCCTATGATTTCCATCCATTCGTTCTTCCTTTTTTCATTTGTAGGAAAACTTGAAATAATAAAAATAATAAAAACCTCGTGAATTGTTTTAATAACAGAATATCGATAATATGTATGCTTACAAGCTCAACACTATCTCAAAATAATCGTTAACAACATTCATCAAAATATACAAACAAACAGGCAATCTAAAGTAACAAAAGCAAAATTTGGCAACATTTATAAGTAAACTACTTAAATAAGTCTAATTACATGATATATTTGGGCTATTGTGTGATTTATAGACAAAAAAATAACACATGCCTGTGCAATGTACCATTTGATTGATTTGCACTTTTTCTAAAGCCACATCCCTTAATGCTGTAGCGTCGCATTTTTATTAATACCTAATTATTCTCACTGTCAATATTTTTGACCAAATTAATTATAATACATGCGAATAATTCAATAGTACATTTGGGAAAACATTTGTTTTGACGTTTGATGTACTTCCCTTTGACAACGGTATCATGTACCTCATGTACTGCGAAATGGACACGGTTGGCATTTAAGATGACGTTACGTATTTTCGATTCTCGTGCTTGACACAGACCAATGTAATGCTATCTCTTTTGGCTTAAGACGGCACGTAGTAATTAAACAAAGACAATGACATGTTTATGTTTTCGACGTCGAAATGCATCATATACATATAACGTCTGATTTATATATGTCAACGTAACATGTCCTTTAGTTCCATAGTCTAAGGTTTTCATTATACGAGTACGCTTGGACCATCACTCCTGAGTATCAGTATGTATAATGTACTCTTTGGCGGACGTCGACTATGTTATTCTTTTGATCTTTGTAGTGCAGTTTTGGCCAAAATAATAAAAAATGTTGTATCGCTGATAATCGAACAAAGATAGCACAGTTTTAGAGTTCACTCAAATGTACCATGAAGTAAATTAGTGATATTATAGTTAATTGTAATAAAAAAAATAAAAAAAGTAAACTCTAAACTCTTTGACTTTTAATCATTTTTGTAATTTTTAAGTATAAAAATCGTAGAAATTTTTTCTAAAACCATACAAAATAAGCAAAATCGGCACAAGGAAGTTTTCGGCCTGCATTTAGAATATTAAAACACGTTACTTACTACAAATGTCCGATTCGAAACACTGTGGAGTGGCGTCAAAGTAGCGATGCGAGTGAACTCGGTCCGAGCCTTAGACGACAGACAAAAATACGAGCGTACTCGTATAATAGTGAAAACCCGGCTTTAAAGTGAAAAACAGAGTGATGTTCCGGTGCAATGATTTATGTCCTCTTTGGTCAATGTTGTCATTAAAAAGAAGCATTTTATTATTTTTATATTACAGTTTCTATAAAGTTTAGTGTAGAAATAGAAAATGTTATAATTTATTACTACACCGAAATGCCTTACGGTAAAGTATATAAACTACTTACTCAAGGGCATGGAAATTCTGGCGATGTAGTACTTATAGAAAGCCCTTTTCTTGAGACCACTAGATTAGGAATACGGATTCGGTCTGTATTGTTGGGTAAATACCAAGGGTTTTCTTTAAATCTTATTTTAAATCCAACGTTCCGTATTGTATCATTTGGACACTAGAGCAAGTACCAAAAATCTATAATCAAGTATGTAAGAGGCTTATCTACTTGCCGAGGCGATTTTTATATTAGGCATATTCTATCTGTGCTTGCCATTTTAACATTTTATGTTTATTAGGAAGCGATAGTTTGGTACGAGCAGCGTCTGGCGCTAATAAGCTGCTGGCAAAAGCATATTTTCCTTAGGTACTTAACCCTTCTTTGTGCGATTTCTAATACCTATTTCTAATAACTGTCTATTCTCGAAGACAGACATACTGAGTGATGAATACTTTTTCGGTGATATTTGTTTTTGAATTAGGTAAATTTTTCACTTTTATTTAATTTATTTATTAGGCATCTATTATTTCTTACTTGCTAAATTTGTTTATTGTGTAAATATTATTTATTACTTGTGTTTGTGTTTTAGCATTGACGACTAAATATTTAGTAATCGCAGGTAAAGTGAAAACTTGTCGCAGTGCAATCAATTACAAATCTTTTCATGAAGGCAGTTGTTTCGAGATTCGTATAATTCACCCTTTGGATAGATTCAAAATAAGTATATTTAAATGTAGTAAACGTCAAGTCCTAAAATTAACCAACAGCCGTAAAACTGAGAAGTATTATGAGCTCGGAAATTGCAGTAAGAGAAAAGTAAGTAAAGTGCCTAGGTATTTATGATGAGCAAAATTAATTTATCACTAGTCGCAAGTGTTTGAACCAATTACATTACGTAAATCTTAAGCAGCCGGACACCGTAGTTTATTTATTTCATGTAATTAAATTAATGTATATATTACAATGGAACTTTATAGATATTTTGGGAACTTTGGTGTAACCATACTAAAGAACTAAATAGATCACCAAAGATGTGGCCTTTCACTCCTACTACAGTCACGAAACAACTAAGACATTGCAATTGCATCGTTGAAACTCCAAAAATTCTGCCAATTCGACAAGTAAGTTATATAGGTATTAATAAAATTGAATAGGTAGTTGAGGACTTCCCATAATCTCTTAATGCATAAAGAAATCGTTGATATCCTATTATTTTCTTATCCCTAGGCGACAAATAGAAAATGGAACGATAAGTATCTATATTTAGGTTCAAAACGGGAAGCCGAAGATAAATTAAGACCCGTACCTATCCCAGGACTCGGTAAAACAGACGAAATAAAGGTCTTGTACTTGAAACCACAGTATTTCGGAAGTATGGGCCAAGCTGAGCATTGGGTACAATGCGGGCAAAGTATGTCTGATGTCACTTACGATCATAATCTCTATACATACACAGGAGAACCCACATCTAACGTTACGTACACGTCTCTTATGACAACTGTATGTATTTTGAACGGAAGTAACTGATTTTGCATTGTGACATTTTACATTAATTTGTAATTCTTTCTTTATTTAGTATCGAACAGCACGTGCGCATCTTACATGAATCAATCTGGAACTATTCGAACACATATTGATTGTGGTTTGGACATTTTACACATTCTATTTATTACTACATTGTATATGTACAATTTATGCCTACAATAAAGTATAGGTACCTGTACTTACCTATTTTCGCAACAAGCCAGCACTTATCTCCATTTTGTTTATTTTCAATAACCTGTACAATAAAGTTTATTGATTTGAGTTCGTACTGGTCGTTTTATTATCCTCGCTTCTAACAAATATGATAGATAAAGTTGACTATCAAGTTTAGACCCTGTCAATTTGGCGATAAATCGCTCAAGAAAATTAAGTTGCTGTCAGACGGACTGCATGCGTGCAGTTACTGTATTCAACTAGATGCAGTTATCTGCAGTCGGATTTGAATGCACGCAGTTTTAGCATCTCTCTCTAGTCCAGGGGCTGAGTACAAAAGTAAGTAAATGTCGAAGTGGAAGCACAGATGTTACTTCTCTCAGTATTGTTACAGCGGGATACGATTACATGAGGTCGTTAGATCCTGTTGAGTAGGTACAGAAATTGATGACGACATAAAAGTACGGTGTTGTTACGGTGGTAATAAAAAAGAGAAATAGTTTTTTTAAATACTTTTTCAGCCCTGGTGTAAAGACCTATTTTTCGAGATACGACAAGATCGCTTTCCGGCGTCGGTATGTAAATGCGGCGTGATCGGCAACAAATACATAATTGCACTACGTGGATTCATCCGCTCATGTTATATTGCATAAGTATGATTAAGATCAAAATAAACTATTTAGGATTGTCAAGGCTGCTTTTGTATTTTGCGTTATTTTTATTAATTACACAACATTATCACTCGCAACCCACAACGCGACGATGGTAAGCATGTGTGGGTATCAGTAGCCGACGGCGCGCAATTGAAGTTACAACTGCACGCAGTTGTACATACTAACTGCACACATGCAGTCCGCAGCCTATAACATACACGGTTGGCTTTTTACGTATACCTACACTTCTTTAAAAAGGCGTCGACAAGAATTGGTTATCTATATTTTAATTTAAGTATCAGTAAGTTAAAATAATTTTATAATTTCAGGCCATGGATTCTATTGACATAGTCCGAAGACTAACGGAATCCATGATCTGGAAAATAAACCTATTTTGTTTGTGTGATCCTCTGTGGCTGGGCCACCGATAGTACTCGAATGGAATAGTACAAAATAATAAGTATCTAAAGTCTACTTTAGACAAGAAGAAGAAAGCAAAATTCTCAAAAAAGTCAAACCAAAATCATACAAGTGTAGTTATAATAAATGACATTAGTTTAGAAGAGATGTAGGTTGTGGTCCGGCTGGGGAGTATGCTCTGCAGCGAGTCTAGTTGGTGATAGTTAATTTTAACTATGCGTAAATATATTTGAAAATAAGTACCATTACTCTACTCCCCGTTGATATATTTATTTCTCTCATTAAATAGTTGGTTTGTTTAATATCCTAAGCTTTCAAAATTATGTGGCGCATCCAGGGAGTATATCTTTGTACGAGTCACAATGGCGCGTGAATCTTAACGAATACTGACAAATTTAGTATCAAAAAATGGAACTATTTAATACTTTTAGTACCATTAAGTTTTAGTTTAAAATAATAGTACCTCTATCAGAACGACATTATTGCTAATATTATACTTCAAAGAGAATATCATCACAACTACGTATAAACTTCATCAAAAGTACTTGTTGTCTTATTTTTTTTTTATATAGAAATCTTAGACGATGGAAAAAAATAAAAGAAATACAAATTCAAAATTTCGACACCCATTTATTTGAGTAAGCAAAGGTTCCATCATACAGGCTCTTCATATATTAGTATCTTGCTATATGCTATAAGGTATCTTGTTTTGATGGTAAAGGTGGACGCGCGAGTTAAGCTCTTTCGGAGAGCTTTCATAAAAAAAATATAATTTTTAATAAAAGAAAAGTTTATTTTAATATACGTTTATTATATTTTAGTACATGTTATTACTGTCTTAAATCTATCTTAATACTAATTGTCAGGATGCATAAATGCTCCGGCGCAGAGCGCGTTATCGGACAGGAAATGCAACCTCATGTCTGAACTCTATGGCGTCGAGGCGTTGATGCAGGCCAGGCTTACTAAGAACTAGCTAGAGTTTACATAACACCTCCCCACTGGAACATATGTTTTTTCTTCAGCTTAGCTGAAGAGAGACCGAGGAATAGCTTCGTTTTGGGCCGCTTCAGGATTTCTGGTTTCTACATTTTCAATATTGCGTCTAGTTATATTTCATTTTTTCCATTTGGCATAAAATACATACAGAGCCGTTAAAATAGAAATGATGTAGAGCGGTGTAGTCCAGTATAAATGAGGCTGGAGGTTCCAGGTTTTTAATTTTACAGCGTGTTGCTCTCGTTCTAAAAATCCAAGAGTAATATGGAGTTGTTTCAAATTTACATTATCAATTTTCAGTCGTTGAAGCGGATCCTTAATTTTCGCTTCATCGTAGTTGAACGCAAACAATTTTATAGGTTTTCCGTTGAAGACATTATGCAAATTTATGAATTTCAGCTTTTCATTGGATGCACTACAATTCTCTGGAAGCCGGAGTAAGTATACACCTTTTATTTGTAAGTATTCGTCTTGAACGCACTGTATGTGTAGTTTTGTAGAGTTATGGCTAAATATAATGTAATATTCGTTATTAATTATTTCAAATAAGAGATATTTGTTCAATGTTGATTTGGTGATATTGGCATTGCGACTACAGTTTCTGGGTGGTTATAAGTGTATATACACAATCAGGGCTATGTTTTGCTTCTTGCAGAAGGATATTACCGCTTTGGCAGTAGTGGATGTTTCCGACTCTATCGAATGGAATGTCTAAATACTGGTACGCATTTTCGTTCATAACTAAGTAGGATTTATTAGGAATTAGAATGGTACTATTAGAAGTAGGGATAGGGAACAAATAATAATATGTGAATATATTCTTAAAAAATATTGGTACTTTAATGACAAATACTAACTTATTATCGCTAAAGTAAGAGCTTACATCTAGGAAGTTATAAAATAGACGAGATTCTTTCACATCAGAGGTAATTAATTGATCAGGCATGTAATAATTATTAAGTTCTGATATAAAGTATTCTACATTTGAAAACGTTATGAGATTACGGTACGCTATGTTTTATTGACAGAGAAATGGCAGTTTCCAGCTTGGATAAGGTGTCAAAAATAATTTGTATGTTTATTTCTAATAATTTGTAAGAGCTGTCTAATTTAACAAAATCAATAAATGTTTGTTCTGAAACATTTGTGTATCTAATAAGTTCAGAGATTTTCAAGGATAATTTATTTTGATTACGTACAATGGTCGATATGGTACTATTAAAGTTTTCCAGAAATAGTTTAGGGTTATTGCTTGATTAACGTGATGAGCAAGGTTGTTCTGATTTCTCTGTAGTATACTTATGGCAGTATTGTTCCTCAGTGCGCCATTTTGGTCTAAGTTTCCAATAATACTATGAATCAAAGTACCTAGGCCATCTGTAAGAGCTCTTCTAAATCTAGTTTTACTAGAGAATTATACTTATCTAAAATACTATCTAACCTATCCGTAATATACTCTTGCAGAGACAAAAATCTAAATTTATAATTTTTACTTAAATCGTGAACTAAAGCGTCAAGAGTAAAAATTTGACTTTGAATGGTTTTTATATGATCTTTTATAAAATCTAAATCTATAAAATGTAAAAACCATGATCAGACTGTCGAATTTTTGATAGTCCTAACTTGAATGGCAATATTCCGGGGCTATTGGTCATTGGCATTAGTTTGGCTTCCTCGGCTCGTGCCGGGTAGCTCACCATCGTCCAGTAACAAAGAATGTTGCATTTTCAGGGGTCTCCTTATGTTTCGTTTATGGTATTTTTGTTCTCTGGTGTCTGCTACCTTTATTCCTAAATCTCGGGCAGTTGTCCTAGTTATACAACGAGGTTAATCTTTGTGACGAGCAGCAAGGCGATTAGTTGGATAAATTGCAAGGCCCTCCTCATATTCAAGAGGCGCTTCCAATTTTTCATTGCGTTTGTTTATGGTAACCATTTGTGTCGAATTTAAGCGTTCGTTAATTTTTGTGTACATATCGACAGTTATTTCTTTATGTTTGTTCATATAATTTTGAAGACATTGTTTCTCAAGTTGGAGATCGAATGGATCTCTGTTATCTAAATGGCCGTTAATAATTTCAATTGGTTTTTATCTGTTGCAGAATGTATTGAATTATTATAAGCTAGTACGGCAAACAGCATTACTTCGATAATTGGGGACTGTTTGTGCTTTTGTTGGATTAAACGAATATGTTCTAAAATCGTCGAATGAAATCTTTCTATGGCTCCGTTGGATTGCGGATTATTGACACTGGTAAAATGTAGGTTTATTTTATGTAAGGCAGCAAATTCTTTAAGAGGAAGATTTTTAAATTCCGTACCTTGATCGGCGGTAATATTCAAAGGTAAGCCATGATGTGTGTTATCCAAATTGTAAGTGCATTAATGACGCTTACTCCTGACGTGCTCTCAAGGGGGTACGCTTGTGCATATTTCGAGAACTTGTCTATTATTGTCAGAAATTTTTTACCTTTGATTTGAAAAGTGTCTATATGAATAATTTCGAATGGCTTTGTAGGGATTGGAGTAAACTGGAGACTTTGTTTATTAGGATGTCTTTCGTACTCATTAGTCTGGCAAGAAGAACAGTTGTTTATAATTTCTGTTACGGTGTTAGGGATATTTGACCAATAGTAATTACGCCTTAACTGTTTTTCAGTGTCCACTATACCTCTATGATTCGACTTTCCTTCATGATAAGCTTTTGCTAGACGATATTGTTCGTCTTTGTCAGTAATGTCTTTTAGATTTTGTTTACAGAACACTAAGTCGAAAGCAGAATTTTTAAAAAACGTTTGCAGAGCTTTAGTTAGATCAGGTAAGTATTTGAAGTCTGAAAGCCAAACGCCGTGTTGAATATCGGGTCGTATGAAATGTTTGAATAAATCAATTGTATCCTCAGTGAAATTATTCAAGCCTCTTTGAGCCATGATACGGTTTTTACCAGGGAAGATTTCTTTTATATTTACTTT